ATATTTCATTTAAATGTGCGCAATTTTTTACGGGGTAATTTCATTTTTATAAGTCTGTGGAAGGTGAATATAAACTTTCAATTTAACGTTGTCGAATAGTTTAAATTTCTATATAGGTTATCTAGACTTTTATAATATATGTACTGAAAATGTAGGCGTGAAAAAGATATACATGTATGTTCAAGGCAGACTTTTATTATGCATACCATAGATGATGTATGTTTTCTATACTTATGTTCTAATTTGTACCTCCACTATAAGTATATTATACTTCATAGGGTGCCTTGTAATGCATTATAACTTATATTGTGGTAAAAAATCATGATCCAGCCAAAGAGGAAGTAAATAAAAAATCAGAGTATGGACGAAATTTTATCAAGTTGGAAGTTAGGTATTAACATAAAGTATGTGTGAGAAATGTTAGGTTACATAAAGTGTCTTTTAATTTTTCTAAACGTATTTTCAACGATGTTGATTAGCCTTTGGTAGATGTCTGCTAGAGCTATTATATATTTTGTATGCGTAAAGAAATAAGTAGATATTTGTAGATCAATAGTGGATGTAAATTTTCATCTACAATAGACACACACACATATATATATATAAAGGATATATATATATATATATCCTTTAGATATTTTTTTAGGTGGATGATAGACGATTAATTTACGTACATTCCACATTATGGATTGCCTGGTAAGCAAGAGACGCGGTAGCGGCTCAGACAAGTTCATGGCCGCTACCACTCTATTTACTCGACACATCTTGCCAGCGGGAATTTAATTTTCTTCACTCGGTCAATACTGACATACTAAAGACCGAAGAACATTTTAACCTATACGAAACGCTTCGGTCATTTTTTTCTTATTTTATGAGACCTTATTCATTACAATCGGTGAAGGTGTTCTGGAGTTATAGCGGTTTGAAATTTCGACAACGTTAGTTTGATCACATTCGTCATCGTCTCCCCCTACCTACAAACCTACACGCGAGAAAAATCCACGCTCGTGAGTACACACATTCAAAGCCGGGTTGTCCTTCAAGGCTCGTTCTCATCGCGCGACTATTTACCAACCCAAGGGAAAGAAACGAACTGCCATCTAGTGGCTACACATAGTAAGTACTTTTTAAATCGTGTGCATAATTCAAACTGTCAATTTGCTATTTAGCTTAAAACATTCTGTGTACTGCTTAATGAAGCATCTTATTATCCCACGATAAATACTAGCCTATGAGAAATAATTCTACGATAAATAGTGGAATGAAAGAAATAATTGTTACTCTACAATAAGGATTTCCCTGCGAGAAACAAATGTCATTACGAAAAGTTTCTCTAATTATCATAAGGTTAGAAAACTATGTCATTATTAAGTTCATTATTAACTTTACTAACCAACTTTCTTAATCTACGATACTGTAACAAACATATCGTAATGTCATTTACTTCTTGCATTGTAATAATTATTATATAGTAAACATTATTTCTTTCGTTCCACTATATATCATAGAATTATTTCTCATCGTCCAGTACTTATCTTGGGATAATAACATTCCTCATCGTATACCATAATTTACTACTTTTTATTCAATCATAAATACTGAAGTATGACAAATAATTCTATGAGATGTAGTGGAACGACACAAATAATTTGTACTCTATAATAATTATTACTCTGTAAGAAACAAATGTCATTACGAAAAGTTTCTCACGTTATTGTAAGGTAAGANTTACTGTACCGTAAGTATTAGAATACGAGAGGCAAATGACATTACAAAAAGTTTCTCACATTATTATAGTGAAAGAAAACTGTATCTTTATTAAGTTCATTATTAACTTTATGAACCAACATTCTTGCATTACGATAATGTGTGAAACCTTTCGTAATATCATTTGGTTCTCGTAGTCCAATACTTATGGTACAGTAAAAATTACTTCTTTCAATCCACTACTTGTCGTTGAACTATTTCTTGTAGTGTAGTACTTATCATAATTTCTGTTATGCTATTTAATAAAAAGATACGTGTATGTATATATATCTTTACAAAAGTAAAAGAAATCCCATTAAAAACACCTTTGGTGTAAAAGAAAAGACAAGTTCATTGCCTGATGTCACTTCACCTTCTGGAATCACTACGAACATTCCTACAAAGAATCAGTTGCCACTATCTTATTATTAATTAAAAAAGAGACCAAAAAATTATTTTTCACGTTCGACCTACTAAAGGTATGAAATCAACCGTTGCGGACAAGTTTAGACAATTTGACCGGTATACTGATGGCCTTTTAAAGTAGTGAAATCAGTTACCGAAAGACAAGTACAAATACAACTCGATTAATAACCGTTCCTATAACTTTGAATTGTTAATCTATTATATGTGAGAGTATCAGTAAATAAACTTTCAAAAATATCTAACGATGTATGCTAGTATAATACTTTCATGGTCTATCATTTTCCTCACTTTATGGCCTCTATAAGTGACTAATCTTTATTCTGAACCATTTAAAGGGTTGCTAACCGCAGTACCGAACTTGTCGGACCCGTTGCATAAGTTGCTGAAACAACGATGAAAATTGATATTTCGTACGCTGTAAATCCGAATGCACATCATTGTACTTTTATTATGGCGCATTAATAATAGTTTTTATAACTGCACTTTCCACGTATATTTACTGAAAATTCATGAATAGATCATTTTACAATTTTTTGATACTTTTCCATGGCAGAAATCCTACATATCACGAAGTTCCAAACAGAATGCCGAGGACGCGTGAAGCAGATTAACTACATATTATTTCGAAGCTGCCATATAAACAGTATATTTAAGTGAAACATTCGTATGCGGGGGGCCCGACAAGTTCGGTACTGCGGTTAGCAACCCTTTAAATTGTTCAGAATAAAGATTAGTCACTTATAGAATCGAGTGGAGGCCATAAAGTGAGGAAAATGATAGACCATGAAAGTATTATACTAGCATACATCGTTAGATATTTTTGAAAGTTTATTTACTGATACTCTCACATATAATAGATTAACAATTCAAAGTTATAGGAACGGTTATTAATCGAGTTGTATTTGTACTTGTCTTTCGGTAACTGATTTCACTACTTTAAAAGGCCATCAGTATACCGGTCAAATTGTCTAAACTTGTCCGCAACGGTTGATTTCATACCTTTAGTAGGTCGAACGTGAAAAATAATTTTTTGGTCTCTTTTTTAATTAATAATAAGATAGTGGCAACTGATTCTTTGTAGGAATGTTCGTAGTGATTCCAAAAGGTGAAGTGACATCAGGCAATGAATTTGTCTTTTCTTTTACACCAAAGGTGTTTTTGGTGGGATAACAGAGTCTCCTTCAAACTATATGTGTATTACTTAGTACAATGAGAAGTTAATGGTTTTGGCAGGTTACTAGATAAATTAAAAAAATATTTGTATTCTTTTTTATAGTATTACAAACAGGAACTACATCAAGTGATAATCTCATAGATTTACAACATATTTTTGGCTTGAAGAAGACAAATCTATTTTTGAATTCGAATAAACGTATAACATAAGTACTCTAATTTTACAAGCGTTGCTTGTATTGTTACTGCAGTTCTCATAACAATAAATCGCGCTTTTTCCATGTACGCAATGTTTAGAAAGTTAACTGTCTAAGTGCAATGGAAAACTGTAGACACGTTTGAAATATTACGGTTCGCATGTACTTTTTCATATACGTCAACTAATTTCTATTCAAGCGTTAGTGATGTCACGCGATTCTGACTTTGCTGCAGTTGACAATAGTGAAAAGTGGTAGTTAAAATGACGTTAAAGTCAAACTTGTCTGAACTTGAGGCCGTTCCCCATATGTGACTATTCTGACTTGTTTGAACGGCAATTAATACGTATAAGAAAGGTGTACAATACGTGATTCAAAACGACAACAACTCGAAGGATTTACCCGAAAACAAGAGTAGTTTATTCATTGTACTAATTTTTACTACCCAAATTTGAAGACTAGCATGTATGCAAAAAGATAGCTCCAAAAAAAAGAACTAAGAAACACCAAAAATAGTTAGTACGTACAGAAAATAAATACAAATCGAGGAACGCAAGGTCTCAATGCAGAATCTAATATGACGCACTTGATCGTCGATCTCGAAAGTACGCAAAATTTCAAGTCCAGAGGCTCATTTTACGTCAAATTATGACGTGAACATCTCCATGCATAAAGAAACAAACAAACGATTAGTAGAATAGAGGAGTAAATGAGGATTGAAACGAAATAGAAGAAAAACCCGATAGAAAAAGTGTCGTCGCACTTGCTGACGTAGAGTCGCTTTTTAGTGTCCATTGATCTTAAAATAAAAATTATAAATCCTCTATACATTGTACTGTACACAATATAAGCACAGCAGAACATTATCAAGCGTCAATTTATAGTCATTATGCACCAATTACTTACGAAACTCTACAAATCAGATTTCTTTTTATTGCAAGAAAGTAATTAGTTCCTGTCATTAAATGTTCAGTTGCTTTGTAAAAATGTATATTGCTTGTGAGCCTTACACAATGTTAGCATTACGTGATTTGATACTTTAGACACAGGCATAGGTACTACACTCGATTACCGTTGACATTTTGAAATGATGGCCTTTAACCAAGAAAAGGCGGTTTCCCCACTATGCGCAAATTTATGTGAAATATTGCGTCAAACGCGAACACCTTAGTCCACTGAGGCGAAGCCAATGCTTCGGAAAGCAAGAAACGGGAATTTCTCAAGCAATTTCTATGTCACTTACGAAATTGTGGAAATTAAATCACCAGATCGTTTCATGAGTGTATTTAACGACGACCTTGCGTCCGATTGAATATTAATGAGCTTTAATTTCTTGTGTGGAATAAAACAAAGCCATGTCAATGAGAGAGGAAAAAGGGCCGGGGGCTCCATTCGAAACCTGTTCGAATTCGTGGATATTTATAGTTTGTATTTAACAGGTGTCTGGTATTTCTTCAGGTTTTGTTGGTGCAGCCAAGCGAGGAGATGTCGAAGCAGATCCGAGTTGAATTAAATGAAAACGTCGCGACGAGGGATAAAGATCTGGAAATAATCAAAGAATGGCTGTCCAGGCAACCACATTTACCTGCTTTTGACGGTAAACGCATTTTTAGATTCGGCTTATATCGGTTTAAACAACACATTTGCTTTGATTTGATCCTGATTATGATAGTACGCGGTATTCACTCGATACTCGCAAATCGTTACTTTTGTCGATTTTTAAGATTCCATAAACGTCGTATTTCTAAAAGTAGTTGTTTGTAATGCGGACTTTTGATCGTTACTTTTGTCGATTTATAAGGTTTCATAAACGTTGTATTTCTGAAAGTAGTTGTTAGTAGTTTATTTTTAAATGAGTGCAGAAACCCAGACTCTTATTCCAGCAATTAGAGGACAACCTAAAATACTCACTCTCGAGTTATCCGTTTCACTTTCAGATGACCAAAGACTAATGACTTTCTTAAGGGGCTGTAAATTTTCACTGGAGAAGTGCAAGAGAAAGCTGGATATGTATTTCACAATGAGAGCAGCCGTCCCAGAATTTTTCTCCAATCGGGATATAACCAGACCAGAGCTTCAGGAGATAGTAAAAATAGTGTAAGCGATTGCTTGTGTAAAACTTTAGTTAGAGCGTAGTATTAGACAGTGTTTAGCTCTGGTGGAAACAAGTTTATTGGACAGGCGTCAAATTAATTCTCCTTGGAACAATTGTGGATCGTTTTTGTATAAAATGTTTGTGGTGAGCGGTGATCCACGGCGTTAGGGGAACCTTTCTCTCCCTGCTGAGTAATCAAATATTTTTTGAATGTTTTTTTAATATCCAATCAGAGCTGAAAACTAAATAATGTTAAAAACCGCATTGTGATTTATTATACATATATCAAAAGATTCGATACATCCAGACCGGACATCCAATCAATTTCTCATTTGAACCGTAATAAGCCACATTATATTATATATAACGCGACAATTTCTTTACACCTTGCATTTAAGACTTTTAAACTCAAAATAGGATAGTAAATTCGCCTAGAAACAATTACGAATAATCTAGGCATTGAATTTCAGTCAAATCCCACCACTACCCGGTTTAACGAAAAATGGACGACGGGTCGTGCTGATGCGTGGAATCGATAAAGATCTGCCCACTCCGAATGTCTCAGAAGCCATGAAATTGGTGCTGATGCTCGGTGATATTCGGCTAAAAGAAGAAGAAGTTGGCGTCGCTGGTGACGTCTACATCCTTGACGCAACGGTTGCTACACCGTCGCACTTTGCAAAATTTACTCCAACCCTTGTTAAAACGTTCCTGGTGTGCGTCCAAGAGGCTTATCCCGTGAAACTGAAGGAGGTGCACGTTGTTCACGTGAGCCCGCTGGTCGACACCATCATCAACTTCGTAAAACCTTTCCTCAAAGAAAAGATTCGAAACAGGATATTCGTCCACAGCAATCTCAACACCCTGTACGAACACATCCCGAGAGAAATCCTTCCCACAGAATACGGCGGCGATGCCGGCCCAATCCAAGCGATTCATGGTGGGTTTTATTTTTAATTTTTGTGTTTTAGCAATACTCTGAAAGGTAAAATCATCAATAGGTAGTGGAAACAATCCAAGCGATTTATGGTGTGTTCTATTTTTCATTTTTGTAATTTAGTAATACTCTGAATTAAAAAAATATTAATAGGTGGTGGAAATTACACACCCAATGTATAAAGTCTCTCTACCTAAGTAGAATTAAAGTTGAAGGACTTCACCTTCATTACCTATACTTTGCATAATTGTACCTGATCTTATATGACGGATACATCATTTAATTCAAGTGTTCCTAATGTTAGATCCTAATACCTTACCGCTAAAGATTAGTTCTGTTTAAAACATTGCGATACTTCCTGCAGTTTCATAATTGTTGATAACTTTCACAATTCAGTATTTCCAATTCAAATTTTCGAGGAAAAATTTTGAATTTGGTTGGCAAACTAGCATTATGCCCACCGTGATGGGTATGTCAAGATAATGATTCAGAATCAGCTTGCAGAAGTCTGTACTAAACATGAGTCAAATCGACGCTCACAATCGGTTATAATGACTGACAGCGAGATAGGTTGCGATTTACAGACCATAATTCATGAATATGTAAACCTATGTAAGTACTTTGTACGGAGTGTATTCCTGGGAGAAAGATTATAAAGGGAATGAAGCTTCCTTTCTTTTCCACTTATCTGGGATGCATTAATACGGTCTACTTCTACTTCGATCGCGCTATGCGAATATAATAAATCGCTTTCACTTTCTGTGGAGGATCTTTGATTCCTCATCAAAACGTTGATGAAAGAATTTTGAATCTCCCTCCTTTTTTTCTCTGACGCAATGATAATCAAGTGACGAACACAAAAAACCATAAATCATCCGCTAAAGCATTTTATTTTCTCGTAAATCTATTTTTGCATTGTAATGATACCGAAGCGATGAGCACAGAGAGGGGTATATGTGTCTTCTGCCAATCATCGCTGTGATTAACATAGCAATCTTAAAGTTTTCAAAGGAAAGTAAGAGACTTTCGAATGTAAGGTAGTTACAGTATGTTTTTTAAAACTTGCTGAAACCATATTCTGTAATTTCATTTCATCACTAGTCTATTCAAAATCATATATTTACGTGCAATTTATGGAATTTATTAAACATAGTAATTATTTATTTAATTAGAGATTATTTAATTGGATAATTTTATCTCTATGTTATTAGAATTTTTTCAAATCTACGATGTATTATAAATTTATCAATTTAGGCGCAAATTCCATTATGTATGATTGTTCGATGTATTTATTGTAATATTCGGTTTTAATCACATTACCTACATTTTGTAACATCATTCTTTAAGAACTTTGCTCATGGAAAATGCGTTCAATGAACACTTTGATTATTGTTTGTTAGATGCCTGGATGAAGAAGTTGGAAAGCTACGGGCCGTGGTTCGCCGAGCAAGAAAATATCAAAACGAACGAAGCTCTTCGCCCAGGAAAACCGAAGACTCACGATGACCTCTTCGGCCTGGATGGCTCCTTCCGTCAACTAGAGATCGACTAAATCATGAAAATGCTTAATAATCGTATTATGCGATTAATGTGTATATTGAAGCAGAGCTTTACCAATAACTTACACGGAGAGACGGAAACAACAATTTTTCCCTAATGTTACACATTTTTTTTGAGTCACTCCGATAGCAAAGTGGTTATGTGAACATTTTTATCTACTTATGCACATTATTATTGATTTTTCAAAAACTTCTATTTTAATTTGCAAAATGATAAATACATTTTGTAATAAAATTATGTATATAGTTTGAAATGCAGATTTGTTGAATGTATTTCCATTGATCCTTGTAGAACTTACACTGTGCAATATACTGAGACTATGTTATGGAACTATTCAAAATAATGATTTATTATCAAATTTTTAGTACAGGATAAGTAATTACTGGATTTGGGAAGTTGTTAGCTTTTAGGCGCATCGGCATTCCTTAGGGCCTGTAAATGTAATTTTAAAAAATTCGTGATTTTTCGTTAGATTTTGTTTAAGTAATTAATTATTGTTTGTTTATCAATAGTATTAGTAAAGCTTAGTGACGTAGGGTGCGATTCTCACATCATTCGATACGAGTTTCTCGCACAAATGTATTTGACTCAAAACTCTACCAAGTCTCTTAATTATGTAGATTGAATTCTATGGAAGTTACGAGACTGCGCATAATTCATTGATTGTTGTTATGTATGAAAGTGTACAGCAAAATATTCTTAGCATCACAATTATTGCCTTCCAAAGCGTAAATTAACAAGAGCTCATAACATATGTAGAATTTGTAACAGTTTTCGTACAACAGTCACGAAATACAATTCTTTTAATTCCATAAGACGTAGTCAATACAGTACAATAATCTTAAACCTATCAGACATGAGGTTTTATAACTTTTGTAGTAATTTTCACAAAGAATACTGCATCTTATCCTATACAGGAAAATCGGAATCCAAATACAGCTTTTTCTCTACAAATATAGTATATTCGTATATAACATCTGTAGATACATAGTACATGATAAATTAATCGTTATATGTGGTATACATAGTAGCAGACACTGTTTACTTATTATCAATTGTATCATCTTCTCCGTGTAAGTTTAGGTTGCATCGACAATGTATGAAATATTGAATTACTATTGAAGCGATTCATATAATCACGAAAACAATGTTAATGCTTCGGATTCACAAAAATTGCTGATGCAATTAAACTTAAATTCCATTACTGCAAGGTCTGGCTTGGATATGTTTCACTGAGAAACAAGGTTATCTATATTACGTCTCTTTTAAGTAATTTTGTACTTTCCTAGCTGAGAAATGAACCATTATAACCTATATATTACATAGCAGATTGTTCTTTATTATCGAAAGTATATTTAATGATAAATGAAACGTTCAACATCGTTAATCGTACGCATATTTACAAGCGTTTCCTGAATGGTCCATTTTCGCGTTTTACACCGTCACGTGACTTTTCCTTAACTAAAATAGAATAAATTACCTAAAATAGAAAGCTCAATTTTCTGAACGTCAGGGCCAATGCCGCAAAAACGGCAGTTTGTTGAAATTTGAAAGTTGACTGTATACATTAAAAAAAATTACAAACATCTGTGTATATTACGTGATTGGCCTACTGATTCTACTCAATAACTCTTTTTACTGTAATGTCTCTTGTTTTCTTTTGTGAATTTCAGCAAAGTAAGTACCACTTCCACACGAAAAAAATAGTCAAGTAAACCACAATTGTGATAATCGTTATAATGATATAAGGCTACATATGAAATAACCTTGCCAGGAGATTGTGGCAACCAAAGTGATATAGTAAAAGAACAAAGTAACAGTTACTTCCCTGTTTAGTCAAAATAACTACAAGGTATTAGTTGTTGTAACATGATGTTTATCGTAACTCCACTGCATACTTAATGGTTACCATTGCAAATGATAAACACTACTGCAACTTTTTAGCGAAGCATCATGGATACGGTAACTATTGGCAATGTTACATTTACTGTTCGATGTAATCAGTCTCATGGTCAGTCTCATCTCAGCATAACAGGTCTTGTCTCATCAGTGTGTGGTTCATATTACAATAATATTTTAACCATGTTGCTACAGTAATTGTAACCGAGGGGATATTCACTCAAGAAATCATGAATTTCAATGCTCGATATCACAAGGAAATCAGCTGTAAATCGCAAATTGATAATACTGGAAATCGTTGGAACTCACCAAAACATTGCCACAATTTTAAGGCCTATGGTCACTCGTTACCGAATTGCATTGTTGTTTATCATATGGAATCAAAGGGAATCGATGCTCAACGAAGAAAATTGTTTTCACTGATGTACGAGTGAATAGTCCCTCGGTAAACAAATTATTTTTTTCCGTGCATTTTTGTTTTCCTCTCTTCAATTTTTGTTGTTTAGAAATCATTGTTTGAATCAACACTCCTTATGCTTGGAACTCTAAACTCTATGTTTAGAGTAAAGAGACGTAGGATTCAGGTGAGGCACATGAACTCGTCCGAGGTGCTACCGGGTCTGTTGATTCCCCTCAAAAGACATATGGGTACCGTAGAAGTAGACAGTCTTAAATCGAGCTTTTGCCAAGATGGAGTTACTTCACTGTGAAATTTAAATTTTATCTCGTGGTAAAGGTTTCCAGAAAATGTCTGAAATTGAACGTACTACTCTCCTGCTCTACGGTACGGATATACATCCTGCATTGCCACGTTTCGCGGTAATTGAACACTAAAAAAAGTAATTTCTTCAGAAGAAGCAGCGGCCTCTACCCGGGTGACTCGCTCGGTAACTCGGTACTCGCGAGGCGATACCGACACCAACACTGGCACAGGTATTGAAACCGAGAACGAGAACCAAGAGCGGGAACGAAACGCGGGAACCGGGAGCTTGAACCGAGAATCCGAGTCAGTCTCCTGTAAATCGCCGAGCGCCGACGTTGCTCGGGGTCTGGATTTATCGCTGTACCCTGGACGTCCGTTCGCCGTGATAGTGGTAGGACAAGATGCAAAACGGAATCAATTCGGTTTCGACGCGATCGCTTTAATTACGAGTGCCCGACGAATATGTGAAAGTATCGGTTCTCGGTGGATTTTCACCTGACCGTTACGAAACCGTCCAAAGCCGTCTTCCGAGTTCCTTATCGGCCGGATAAGATTCCGATTTCGGAATGTTTCCTCTTACGATTGAATACGCTCTGACAGTTGGTTAAGCAAAAGGGTATGTATAATTAACAGATTATGAAAGAGGGTCGGTATACGCAGGGACATGCGAAGAGTTGATTTCTGAGATAAAGGTATTTTTCTCCAAATTAATGTTTTATCTAAACATGAGATAATAAACTGTTACCTACTTCGTAGTTTCGGTAAGAATCACGTTGTACGTAAATTTTCGATTTTTTACTTCCAAGTGGGTACTCAAATAGTGTAAAAAAAATACACTTTCATTTATATGTTTTCAAAGAGCCGAGGCTGGATGTTTATGAGGAAATTCTTCGTCGTTGTAAGACATTTTCCTTGTACTTACCTATACAGGTAATACTTAGTATATGTATGATGGAAATTATACGGTAATTGTACACGTTCTTTCCTTGAAAGATTATCATAAATTGGTCATAATTTCTTTCAATGTCGTGTCTTTAATTGCAAATAAATAAAGGTATCATAACTGTCTGGAACTATAAGAATTTTGTCTGTTTAAAAATAAATATGAATATAAATATGGTCGGGTATTAAATCGATCTTCATTTCAAAATGCATGTTCTAATTGTCTACCGTTTGGTTGAACACTTATTTCAGGATATCCCAGAATTGTTCTTATACGATTCTTCATTCTTTCACGCTGATGACCCCCGTAGTTAGGTAATTCAATAATTGGTAATTCGTAAAAAACAATTAAACGAACGTCAGGATGTTAAGAAGTGCATTTTCGCCTGCGATATAATCAAAAAGCTATTACACTTCAACATCTTTTCAACCGCTTCGAAAACAATTTACTTTCTAATTGCAGCTATTCCATTTCTGTTCTGCGCGATAGCTCACAACTATTTCGGATTTCACTTTTAACGGTCTGGTCAATTAATTAATCGTTTGTATTGGATTTCATCATCAAATTTTCATACACATGGCGTCCCAAAAATGAATAACTTGTTCAAATAGACTCAAAAATCCAATTATTGGCATTGTTCTAAAACTCAGTTTTGAAGAATTTACATTTAACCAGTTAGCTGTGTTTAACGAGTATACTCGTCATGAAAACACACGTTTCCAATAGGTCGACACAGTTAACTGGTTAATCACGGGTAATGATAGAATTTAAGCACAGAAACGACTATGGACAACTTTACGGTCTCAATAAATGTCGCTAATGATTACACTCGTTCCCATAAAAGTCAAAAGTTCCAAAATAGTAAAGTCATTTGAGAAAAATTCGAAAATTTTAACTCCAGTTTCAAGGGTAGATATGAAAAGTAATCGATTCAAGGCTGATAAATGTTAAACCATTCGTGCCTCTGAACAGGTGCAAATTTAGCAAAAAGTTGCAAAATCTTGGAATTCAAAATAATTCAATCTGCACTTTGCCGGTACTGTGACGAGGTAATGTCTAGACGAAGATATTGTAAAATGACGAGAGCTAATACTTGACAACGACACTTTATTATGTTTTTATATATTCTTTATTTGTTATACTTATTTATGGAGTTTGACACGTGATATTTGTTATTTAATTTTTTGACCGATTAAAAAGTATACGAAATTGGCAAATTAAAATTCATAAAGTATGTAATGGATATGAATTGTCATCGATACGTTCAAACATATATTGCGAACCAAATGTAAAATCATCACCGTGAAGAACAACTCGAGAAACCTGAGTTCTGTATACAAACACAGGTTAATTCAAGTAACCTTTGGAGAACACCTACGAGCAGACTGTCGGCTGTTCAATATGCGAAATATCAAAACAGCATTTTGAAAATCCTACTCTTTATTAGGTGAATGTCTTAAATGTGCATCCGTCAAATTCCTTGTACTACTTTTCTCTTTGAAGGCTTGGTGGGAAAGATCAAATTATTAACAAATTTTGTGTTGTCCATGACAGTACGTCATCGTTGAATCTCTTGGCGTGAAAAAGATTGATAGAATCGTAAAAAAAGAAATTAGAAACTCAAAATGGTGTAATGAATTTTTAGCTTCTTCTATCTTGTCGTTAAGGATAATTATATACATAATTCTATCAATTTTTTTTCCAAGTGATCGATTCCACCTTGACAAAGATGCGTCAAGGGAAACAGTGTTGAAACACATTTTTGAAGGACGGAAACAAAGATAGATTGTCTCAACACTGTGAACGTGGAATAACTGCTTAATTAACTAGTACGTACATATAATACTTGTTCCTCAAATTAGTAATTAAATATCTTTACTGTATATCTAGAGATAGATATGTTTAATAGTAATTTTTTAATGATAAAAGCATTTCTTCGAGTGAGAAAAAGTTTCGTTTTAAAAAGTTTTTAAAATGGATTACTTTTAAAGATTATGACTGAAAAAATAAATTACAATTGTAATTTTAGCTGGTAGTACTTCGATACGTAAATATTTCTTGTTCTCAAATAAAATTGAGTTTTTGACGATAAAAATTGTTTGACTTACATTTTAATTTTTTTATTATTAATTTTTAACATTTTTATTATATTTGCCCCTTCTCAGGCACATGACCTGAAACACATGAAAATTGCATAATAATATGTTGAAATATCATAATTTCTGATTATAAAAGATGTATAACAATTACAACATCACAGTACATAATCAATCACGTATTGTTTACATCACTTTTACGAATTGAATATCGCCGATATAAACGTTCCATATAAATCACGTGTTTTGGTATCCTAAATTATTACATAATTCTTACTTTCAAAATTGATGACACTTCAGCGAATCTATTACGTAAATATTACATATGTCATATGTTGGCGGGAATCGATCAACAGTCTTTGAATTTCGTATATACCGTACTCTCGATTGTTGCACATGGAATCTCTTTTTCCTCCTTCAACTGTTAATATTTTATTGTTTACCCGTCAGGCATTTCTGTCGTAAAAGAATTCATAGTACATACAACAAGTAGACGCTTCATAAATGACGGTAAATTATATATAATTACATTACATTAACATATAATTACGTTACATTATTAAAGTTACAATTTTTACATTATTAGAATGATAGTATACTCAAACTAAATTTGTTGTACATAGGGCTGGATTGCAATTATGGATGCAACAAAGGTCAAATACAATTTTTATTTATAATTTACATGAGCTTGCATTTGATTCACCCGCGAAGAAAGCGGTAAAAATGTATGGTCGATTTTTCAGTATTCTCGCTTCTGAGACAGAAAAATATATCTTGGCAAAGAATGTCACGTTTTAATTAGTAATCGGGACAAGAATAGCTTACTTCAATTTACCTTCTACAAAGTAGACTTCACGGAATGCAGAAAGCATGACGTAAGCTTCATAAATAATGCCTCGAAACGTGCTTGCGGGAACGAATGTTGTTTTATTATACAAATGTAATATCTCAGAAATAACCGATTTCGTCGAATATAAAGGATTGAAAGGTCTTGCGTGTATGCAGCGTGAGTTTGTTGAAAGTGACCGTACGAAACATAGTAAAACACATCGTATAAATGAAACTTATTCCTGATTATTATCGTTGCTTACCACTGATAGGTAAATTTAATAAACAAAGATGTTTAGATAAATGCAATTTCCACCGGGCTCTTTAAAATACCGCCTGAATTTAATATAAATGGACGAATAGGAACGTAAAATGTCAAACGAAAATTGTATTCCACTTTAACTACTTGTTCAACAAAAATTATGTATCTCTCCGTGTCTCCGCCCTATTCATGAGGTCGAATACGTCATCCAAGGTGCAACGGGTGAAGAATTATTTATGGATGTAGCCCTAAAATAAGATTATCCTCCCAAGGTCCGTACTCATGGAAATCTTATAGTAAAAAAAAAAGATAGCGTTAACTTCATGCGTGTCGCTTTTTGCATACAAAAGTTTTAACTTCGCCCGTAACGGTCGATTCGATATATTCGATTCCTTATAGATTCTTGAATCGTTCTCTCTTTACGAGAAAATACACACATTTCAAATTGTCTTGGTACAGTTTAGTTTGATATTTAATTATTTAGTGATAAGCAACATTTAATTCTACACAGAAAATGAGTACGAAAATGTCATGAGGGTTAACCATTTTAATACTTGCATGATGTTTACATAAATACTTCTTATCAAAAAAAAATACAAAAATCTATAAAAATGTGCGAATGACGTTTAATGAAGTAGACAACGAATTCTCATTAAGGATCGTTGATTACTCGCGGGATTTGTCGGAAAATGTCAAACAAATGTCAAGAAGTAAATATTGAATTAAAATAGACACATCCCAGGCACCGCGGAACGTGGAATATCCGTAAATTAATCGTATATAAATGTTTATTGAACGTATGTAAGACATATATAGATAGCTATGAACTCTATTTTAGATACACTCAAAGGCTAGATGCCCGGACATGAGACGTAATATATACATATATCGTAGATATCTACAATAGACGGTCTATAAATATTCATATATATTTATAAAAAGAAATTAAATTCACAACACTTTTTGAGCAGAGTCTGATTGAGAACTTGTTCAGTACAGCTGTGCAGACAAATCCTGCTGTTTTTGACACAGAACAATTCTTTTGCAATTGTTGGGATTTGAACCCGGGACTTACGGGTAGGAAACAGGAACGCTTACCATGATGCTACCAAAGTCTGTAAAGGAATAAATATTTTTTGGACTTATGATTACCGCTCCGGTACTTCTCGATCAGTGCTAAAGATACTTATTGCATCTTATTGTACACTTATTCTTAAAAAAAAACTCGTGATTGTAAAATTAAGTCATTTAAAGAATTGTAACAGTATGTTATAAAATCATCATTTTATTTAAAAGTGAATAATAAATGTGTACCGATTTACTTTTAAGATACTAAATTCGTAATTTTAGTATGACCTTATATACTAAAAATGCATGAATTTGATGAACATTATTTAAATTTTTTTACGGGTTAATTTCATTTTTATAAGTCTGTGGGTGCTTAATATAAACTATCAATTTATCGTTTCCGAATAATTTAGATTTCT